GTAGCTAATATACTTGCCCCACCAGGACCACACAAACCTTTTCTCTCTTTTAGTGATTTATGCAAATGTCAATTGTGGTTGTAACCCGGGGGTTTTTTCTTTAAAGGTGTACTTATACTTTGAGTGTATCATCGTAATTTATGTGCAGTATCCTGATGAATTTTAAAATCCCTTTGCTTTTTATGTCATTTACTGTTCCGCACATTAGATATGGGACCACCACATCATCACCAAGGCCACAGAATGCCACATCCAGGCATGAATGAACATCCTCCATGGGGAGGTCCCCAACACCAAGACTTTGGCCCCCCGCCACATGGGTTTAACGGTCAGCCGCCTCATATGCGTAGACCAGGGCCCCCACACGTCAACCATGATGACCCCAGCCTTGTTCCGAATGTTCCATACTTTGACCTTCCTGCGGGACTTATGGCACCATTGGTTAAGGTACATGCTATTGTTTGTAGTATGCTCATAGATGCAAATAGTAATTGTTCACTATGTTCTCAAGTAAAATAAAGTGGATTAGATGGTTTAGCATGAATCTGTCAACAGACAAAACACCTAACTCACAAGCTTCTAATGGAAGCTGCCGTTTCCAGGTTCTGGACTATACATTCATTCATTCCAGGGCATTGATTAGTTTAGTTTGGTAACGTAAGAAGCTTCCTACTTAAACCTGTATCCTAGTCTACTTTTTTTTATATCCAATCACAGTACATGAAATGATGGAATGGATTTAGGTGCCCAAACAATATCCTGGAAGCCTCAATTATTGCTGATATTTTGAAATATCTTACATTGTATCTCAGTTTAATGTCTATTTCCTTGTCACTTGATATAATTACTGTGCGATCTTTACTAATGTGTATTTTTACTTTGCGTAACATTACTGAGTCTATATTTTCTATGCAGCTTGAAGACCATGAGTACAAACCTCTTGACCCCAAAGATATCCGCCTCCCTCCTCCAATGCCACCTAGTGAAAGGCTTTTGGCTGCTGTTGAGGCTTTTTACAGCCCTCCGTCACATGACAGACCCCGAAACAGGTCAGTTTGAACTCTTATGGACTTTTTCACACCATGTCCCTTGAGCTGCATTTTTCTGCACATCACTACACATGAACAGGGTATACAGAATACAGTTTTCTGTGTACTGTGTTCACACTATACATGTGTGCTGGAATGCAGAAAAAAAATGCAGACACAGTGTGAACAAGCCATTATGTGCTCCAGATGTCCTTTTAAAGCTTAAACCTTTACAAAAATACAGTGAGATATATTTGTAACAATTACAACTATTTTTCTTAATTAAAAGTATTTGAAACAGTTAAAGTGACACATAGCTCTGGAGTTACGCCTTACAAATGCATTCAGGTACCCCAACTATTAACAAATGTATTTTATTTATGCATCACATTTAGCTGTCCTCTCTGCTCTGCACAAAGCAACCCCTTTTGATTCTTGTGTTCAGGCTGAGACAGTAAGCAACCAGTGCTGGGCTTGCAATAGTCAAGATTGATCTGCATACTTATTGTCATGGGGTTAACGATATTAATGTTTGTAGAATATTTTAAATAAAGAAAATCCAATTAAACCGACCAAAACCAGTTATAGTTCCCCTTCACACTCTGCTGTCGTTGCATATGTGGTGCATTTTGAATTTCTCATTTGACCTCACACTACTTGGATAATATATAATGCTTTTTTAATTATCTGCATCTGTGGATTGGTTATAAAACCTTTTTCTGCAATACATTTCCCTGAGATTGTTTAGTTCAGGTCAATTGAAATTTTTGTCTTTTTGTATGTTCAGTGAAGGCTGGGAGCAGAATGGCCTTTATGAATTCTTTAGAGCAAAGATGAGGGCCCGTCGACGAAAAGGCCAAGACAAGAGGAGCAGGTGAGGAGCAAAAGGGTTCTTTCTCTCTTCATGGGACTTGGAGAACTCTACTATGAATGGGGTTTCCTAAATGTTTTTTTACAAATATTAAAACCGTATTGTTACATAAAAAGATCTAAATTGCACTTTTCTCCACCTATCTGGTTGAAAAGGTTTTAAATTGAAATGAAAAATGTAATAAGTATTCTAGGGCTGCAACAACTAATCGACATAATCGATTATAATCGATTATTGAAAAAGTTGTCAACTTTTTCAATCATCGATTAATCGGCTTCCGATTGATTGGCCCTGTTCACGGCTCCACACACGCTGCACGCCACACCTCCTCCCCACCTTACGCTCGCAGCTGCCAGACCCGCCCGCCCGCATTCACGATCGGCACAGGGACGCGGGGAGAAGAAGTAAGGAGGAGCAGGTGTGGGTGGATGACAGCCTCCGATAGACAGGCCCGATCTCCGAAACAAGTTGCTGGAAGACTGCTCAGGTAAGCCTGCACTTCCCTCCCCCACATGGTGCTCTATAATGTATTGCTGGGATTTGTATTCCTCTATAGCTGATGGTACATTGTGCTGTATATTATACAGAGGAGTACAAATCCCAGCAATACATTATACACTTTGTGTATAATGTATTGCTGGGATTTGTTGTATTCCTATATAGCTGGTGGTATTCTGCATTGCTCTGTATAAAGGACTACAAATCAACGAATAATACATTATAGAGCGCAATGCGGAATACCACCATCTATAGAGTACAACAAATCCCAGCAATAGTACATTATACAGTGGTGCAATGCCGAATACCACTAGCTATAGAGGACTACAACACCCAGCAATAGTACATTATACAGCGCAATGCAGAATACCACCAGCTATAATGTACTGTTGCTGGGATTTGTTGTATTCCTCTATAGCTGGTGGTATTCTGCATTGTGCTGTATAGAGGACTACAAATCTCAGCAATAATACATTATACAGCGCAATGCGGAATACCACCAGCTATAATGTACTATTGCTGGGATTTGTTGTATTCCTCTACTGTATAGCTGGTGGTATTCTGCATTGTGCTGTATAATGTACTATTGGTGGGTTTTGTAGTCCTCTATAGCCGATGCCATTCTGCATTCATTGCTGCATAATTTTACACTTTTCATTTCACTATATTACACCACAATATTTTTTTTCTTTTTTACTGCCACCGCTCCAAGCTTGCTCCTGTGATGGACTACAATCTCAATACAAACTAGTAGTCCCATCACTGGAGCCATTTTTTAAAATTTATTTTATTTTTTATCCGATTAATCGAACTTAATAATCGGCTAACTAATCGATTTTGAAAATAATCGTTAGCTGCAGCTCTAAAGTATTCCATTGATGGTATTCATTCTAATTTCCTGGCTGAAGCTCTTGGCAGAATCTGTTTTTGTATTGATTAGTGATCAGCTGTCAGAGCATGGTGTGCTATATAGAACCTATAAGAAATGGACATGTAAGGTTAGTTATGACTGCCATGCACAGACTACACTAATAGGACTGTAATATGATGCATTAGTACATGGGTCTTATGCTTGGGAACTTGCACAGTTTGAACCTCATATAAATAGGAGCTTAACACTTACCTTTTTTAGCAGGCCATGTATATTCGGTTCTTTTTAAAATGACAACTGAAAATGCTGCACCTCTAGACAGTCGTTAGGTTGTCAGTTCAAAAAGAGATCATAAAAATGGAGAACAGGAAATAGAATGATTCAATGGGAGCTTGCTCCAGACTTTATTATGTATTGCATGTTTTGTGTTCTATGTAATTAGTATTCCAGACTAACTGTGATGATGATAACTTCTAACATTTAGAATCTGTATTTCATTTGTATTCTAGCATTCTAACATTTGTATTCTAGCTTTTGAGTACTGTTGTGAAACTTTGTCATTTTCAGTAGGACATCGAGGTCTAAAAGTCGGTCAAAAAGTCGGGGCCGTTCTTCTTCACGTTCACAATCTAGATCTTCAAAGTCATCTCGCTCCTATTCTGGGTCTCGGTCAAGATCTCATTCTCGATCCAGGTCATATTCTCACTCCAGGTCCAGGTAAAGTGTACATCATTTTATGTGGTATCCTGTGTCTAACTTTTTATAGTTTTGCTGAGTCTATTTGTGCCATATATAACTGTTGACTGTGTATGCATTTATAAGCTATTTTAGCTTAAATGTAGAGCTGCAGAGGTTGACAAAAACTCTGTTTACCGCATGTGTTCTTGGATTCCATTTTAAAATGTCACTGGGCACCAGAAAATGTTGCGTACTCCCTAAGTGCGTTTTGGAAATGTATCCATAAAAAAGCACATTTGACTATCGTGTGCTTTTGAAGATACTGATATTGTGTAAAAAAAAAAAAAACATTACCTTTTTCCTTGTTGTTGGGGGCTAATACATGTGTGTTATTTTCTTAGGGCCCAGTCACACTAGCATATTCTCTGCAATGCTGTGGTTTAGCAGATGGGCTAGTGCATTGTGACAGCATTTTATTGCACACTGCTGTAGCTGTCGCAGTTTATTTTTTTCTTCAGTTTTATGTGGTGTGTACAATTTGAACACCTCATCCAGGTCCCTGCCTTGCAGTGACCTGTGATGGCATACAGTGCGCTGCAATGAAATGCAGCATATTTGCATTTTATCGCAGCACACCGCCCACTGTGTTGTAGTGTGAATGGGACACATAGAACACAATTGTTTCCTATGTGGCCTAGCGGTGACCTGCATTGATCTGGTGCTGTACAGCAGAGGTCACCACGCTATGTGTGGACGGACGATGCAGTGCTTTTTGGTCTATGATTATCTTCTAACCACCTACTAAAGGAAGACTAATAACTTTTCTGTTTTGGCTGCACTTTTTAATCAGGAGCAGAAGCAGGTCTCGGTCATCTCGAAGCCAGTCAAGGTCAAGGTCCAGATCAAGATCAAAATCTTACTCACCTGGAAGACGGCGCAGATCTAGATCTCGCAGTGCTACCCCTCCGTAAGTGAATAGTAAATCAATTGATTTGGTAGGATAAATACTTTCTTCTTTGTAGAAAGAATGACCTTATTGGACTGTACATGTTTATCAGTTCAGTTCTTGTGTGCCAACTATAAATGGCACATTTTAAATGGTTATGAATGTCAGGGGAAATTGCCAATAGCAACCTTTCTTTCCAACTGTCAGTTTACACGACCATGAACACAGGAACCTGTATGGCTTCATCTCCATATTTGTAGTATTCTTTGTTTTATAAAGAAGCCTCTTATGTCCAATATATTGACATCCTTTCTACTTTTCTTTTTATCTGTGTGATTCGCAGATCCACAGAAAGGATGCACTTCTTTTCTACAACTTGTCTGTATTTCTAAACCACAAGGTGTGCTATTTAGGGCTTAAATATTTTGTTCATGTAAATCAATTAATCAGTTTTATTTGATCCTGCATGTTTTTTATTCTTTCTAACTGGTTATTCCATAGTCAAGTCTGTATTTAATGACAGTATCTTGAACTTCCCCTACTGAACCAGGTGCTACTGTTTTTGTAAACTAGTCATCTATATTGTAGTTTTAAATGAATAAATTCATTTGTATCCATAGCTCTAGCTAACTTTTATTGGGAAAAAAATAATTTGGCTTGTATAGAAAGTTTAAATATTAAATATAGATCCTTTTTATAGTGCTTCATTCATTTATTTTTGTTTATTTTTTTTTTTAGCTCCTCTTCAGGTTTGGGTTCCACATCGGGAGGAACTCCAACAAGCATCCGTCTCGGGGAGGAGAACAAGGGGCACCAAATGCTAGTAAAAATGGGTGAGTGCTGTATCTGCTTAGTCTTTATTTGGCGGACACATGGAGTAGTTTTTGCCTTTTTTGTTGCTCCTAAATCTATAGCTGTTGTGACGGGAAAAAAAAAATATAAAGTGAATGCTAGGTTTGCAGAACAAAGGGCAATATGACCTCAGCATGTAAAATGCACTTTCTAGCCATGCCTTTCTAATAAGGGGGAACACATTTAGTGCTATGTTCACATATTACCAGTAATATTCTTTTAAAAGAAAAATTAAGAAAAAAAAATATCAAAGTTAATGTGTGTTTTACAAATATAGGGCGGGGTAACAGATTAACTATAATGGCACCCACCACCACCAACAACTTTTCCACTCTGGTTTCTGGGACTAAAGAAAAATAATCAGTACTTCCAGGAACTGGTGGGAGTATTGAACTGATTCCGCTCAACCCCATGTGACCATTTGGGTATCCAGCTCTGTTACTGATGGCTTCACAGGGCAGATACTTCTGTGGTCAAACAGAGCTACAGGCAAGCGAAGGTAAGCTAAGCATGTGCTGCTGGTGTGGTGGCATTCATGTGAAGCTGTTGTTTTGCCCTGCAGGGACAAAGCACGGATTCTTTTTCAAGGTTTATGACAGAATTCACTTGAAAATGTTATTTCATAGCTCATTTACAGAACCCTTTAAAGCTTGTCTGTATGATGAACAGTGGATTTAACGCCCACTGAAGAGGCTTTCTGCCAGACCATGTGTCAACTGAGCTGACAATATTGCTAAATCTAAAGAACTAGTGGCCTTAGACTTCTACTCAGATAGGAGGGGCAAGGGCCATGTCACACTTGCAATCTTGTAGCTGGCAACAACTTGCCATTGACAGGATCACTATGCAGAGCAAACGCTCAGCTGATTTTATGCAATGCTACTTTGTTGTCTGGATGAGCAAGCTATTGAGGGTGAGTGACATTCTACAGGGTTTCTGGTTAGTGATCCAGACAAAGGGGTGAGGCATGGAACCAGGTATTTATGTACTGAACACTCTAAACAAAAATTATCTGCACCAGTGCAAATTAAAAAAAATAAAAACAGGTTCTAGGCACTATAAATAAAGAACGACAAATATATAAACTATCCTGTGCTGAGCTAAATAAAAAAAAATCAAATCGACAGTGAACAATAGTGAAAAGCAATGTACACAGTAAAAATACCCTGCTCTAAATAACCCCAAATAATGTGAAGATAAGCAGAAAAAAATTAAAAACACACCACTATGTCCTTGTATTATCAAGTCGAGTGAATGAGTGAGTGTATCGGAGCGAGATCCTAATGGTACAACATATTATCCCAAATACGGTGACAATATTCAGCAGAGAAGTGATCATCAATCAGGAAAGATGCCGTGCAGACCACAACCAAGGAGATGATCCAATCCACACCCAGTGAATATCAACATTGTTTTCTGTTTTATCATCTTCACATTATTTGGGGCTATTTAAAGCCTGATATTTTATTGTGTACATTTCTTTTTCACTATTGTTCACTGTCGATTTTATTTAGCTTGGCAAAGGATAGTTTTATATATGTACTCAACACTGCATACAATTTTCTTCCTTGGTGAGTTGATGCAGTGGCCCTAAAACATACTTCTGAGCAGCATGCAAATCATGTGTATGTTCGGATCCTAAATACTGCACATATAAAACTAATATATGCTTCCATAGTGGAAAAAATTAACTTCAACCTTCGTTTTGTCTTTAGGGTGGAGTGGAGCTGGGGGTCTTGGTGCTAATGAGCAGGGTATTCAGGATCCAATTAAAGGGGGCGATATCCGTGACAAGTGGGACCAGTACAAAGGAGTCGGAGTCTCTCTTGATGACCCCTATGAAAACTACCGTAGGAACAAAAGTTACTCTTTCATTGCACGAATGAAAGCCAGAGATGAAAGTAAGTCATGAAAAGATTAGGGATGAACATTCATTTCATATGCTTTTTAGGAGACATTTGGTGCACATTTTGTGTGCCTTAAATCAGACCTTCACTCTCTAAAATAGTTTTCCTTCCTGCAACCTTCCTTTGCAATATAACCCCCCCCCTTTTTTTTTGTTTACATTTTTCATTTTTATCTGGCCTACTTTCCCTGCCTCCATTTGCACCCAGGCGAGCATGACATGTCCTGCTCCTGCAGCCTCCTAGAATATTCCAATCGCATAACCCAGGAGGCTGCAGAGCAGAGAGACAGAGGGCGGGCCTTCCAGCTGTAAGAACCCAGCCAACTCCTGATAATGTAGGAAAGGAAGGTGGCAGTGCTGGACTTGGCATGTAGCAGTGGATCGCTGGACAGGTATGTTTTCTAAAGAAAATCCAGCCTAACAGGTAAGAGGTGATCCTGTGTTCTTTATTTACAGTTTGTTGAAAGGTGTACCAGCGAACAAATCAAGCATGTATGTTCTAGTGATGGAGGAGTTCTATCTCATATATTAGTTTCACCTTTTTTAAGTTGCAATAGTGAAATAAATAAACTTTTGCATGATATTCTAATTATTCGAGTTTCACCTGTATGTGGTGTTGAAGTGTAGATGTAGAGCTGCTTGGTATAATGTATTTGGTAAAAGGATATATATGCTACTGGTCTTATGGTTGGGGTCACAAGCTCTCCAATCTTGTACCTGTTTTTTTTGGACTGTGTAAGCTCTGTTAACCTGTTTATCTGGAACATGGCCACATTTGTTTTTGTGTCATTTGTATCCCTACATTGCCCTAGTGTCTTTTTTATTCTTTATACTGTATGCCAGGGGTAGACCACCTCGGCATCTGGAGTTCCAAATTTTCTTATCCTTGCTGTATTCACTTGAAAATATATTTCTAACATTTATTTGGGCATGTGATTGGGTCAACCTGGTCTCGTTATGTGAACTGGACCTGTTTATTATTTTAGATTTCAAAGCGGGAGGACCCTTTCCACCAGGCTCAGGTCCACCAGGAAACAGTGAGTGTGTTCTGCATTCCTTTTTATCAAAACCTTGCCAGCTGTAATGAAGCAGCATGCTTTAATAAATATGATCATATTTGTTCCTTATTTTCTACCTAGAATTTCCAAAGCAGCATAGTATATGGCTAAATATTCAACCCTGCTTGCTTGACTTGTCCTAGTGTCCTAATGGAGGACTATACATCCATTTTGCTTATTCCATTAATATTCATAACCTTAGACCACTTGAGATTGTCCTATCATGTATTTAGGCAACATAGATTCTAGTAATTGTTTTTTTAGGTTGGGATATAGGTTACTGGTTTTATGGTGTCACTTGTATGAGATCATATGTGATACTGATTAGCCACTCAGTTTCCTAATGGAAAATGTGTGCATTAGTTTGTGGTTTTCAGTTTCTGTAACATTATTAGTGTATTCATTTATATAGATTTTATGTATGGTAGAGTTCCAGTTGATCTACTGTTTTTAGAGTGAAGTCATCCTTTTAACTACATTTGATATTTTGTAACAAAATATACAAATTTCCATCTTTAAGACATATATAGTACTACTTTTTTCTTTGAGACCCCATTCACAATGAGCATTTTTTAGTGCAATTTCCACTCAAAAATCGCTCAACTATGAAGCTCAATGTAGCTCTTCCAATGCATTTAAATGGAGATGTTCACATCTTGCTTCTCAATGCTGCCTGTAGCTGAAGCTTGTTGCTCGAACATGAGCTAACTCTGTAACAGAACTAAGTCTGATCTACCTCTTCCTTTTCCTATAGTAAAGCGGGAGTGCCAGGATCCGCCAGCACAAGAATGACCCAATCCAAGATGAAGTCTGTCGTCTTATTCAGAACTGTGGCAGTTAGACTCTCCCTGGGGACTGACCTAGAATTTTATTACATAAGTTGTAAAGAATTGCTTTTTGGTGGTCTTTACCATTTGAATTGGTAAAGTTTTAATTTTTTTATTTTTTAAAATGCAGAGAATATATCTCTCAATATTGTTCATGCCTGGATGACAGACCCGTTTTCAGCACACAATGAAAAAGTGGTCTCTGCCCAGCCTTACATTTGTTCAACAACAACAAAATTATTGTATATTTATCAGCATAAAAATGTCCCCCGGTATTATCAGGACCGTTCTGTTCACCAGCAATCCCATCGCTTATTCGTTTTTCCAAGACTTCATAAGAAATGACTTTTTAAAACAATGTTGTATTATACTTAGTGAAGGCAAAATGTTAAACTGACTAAGGTGTTAGCAATATGTTGCTACAGTTTGAGCTTTTCTTGCAAGTTAGAGTGTAACAAAGTATTTTACTCCCTGTTGATTTAGTGTTAAACACTGTAACTGTGCATCATGTGAGTGCATCATTTGACTGTATGAATTTTGTTTGTATGTGAACAGCCCTTCTTCGCTTACAAATAATTTTGTAAAATAAACTTGTGAAACCGTGATACACCAGTCTCTTTTCTTTCTGAACAATTAGCATTTTAAGTGATAATCAAGTCAAAAGGATTTGAAGCTTACAATGGATGCTGCTCCTTGATGTGTTGGACCCCTGAGCACTAGTCCTGATATCCTGTTTTAGCCCTCATTCATATGAGTAACTGCCGTATCGGGCCGCTCCCGGGAAGGACAGGTGCTGCGTGTGATTTACATGCAGCAGCCTGTCCTCCTCTTTGGGAGTACGCCGCCCTAGGCTCACCTGAACTGCATGTCTGTATGGGTGTCTGTACTCGTACGTAGACAGGATGGATCCAGTCTGCGTCTGAGCAGGGGCACCCATACAGACATGCAGTTCGGAGTGTAGGCGGCGTACTCCCAAAGAGGACAGGCTGCTGCATGTAATCACACGCAGCACCTGTCCACGGCCGTGCACACCACACAGATCTGTACGGGCTGGCTGTTACACGTGTGAATGAGGGCTTAGAGTGACTCCTTTCTCAAGCAGAGTGCTATGCAGTCTAGAGCTGCAGCTAATGATTATTTTCAAAATCGATTAGTTCGCCGATTATTAAGTTCGATCGGATAAAAAAAAAAAGAAGGGCTCCAGTGATGGACTACTAGTTTGCATTGAGATTTGTAGTCCATCACAGGAGCAAGCTTAGAGCGGTGGAAGTAAAAAAAAAAGAAGTGTGGTGTGCAATATAGCACATTATACAGCGTCGCAGTGCAGAATACCAGCAGCTATAGAGGAATACAGCAAATCGCAGCAATAGTACATTATGCTATAATGTACTATTGCTGGGATTTGTAGTCCTATGTAGCTGGCGTTATTCTGCATTGCGCTGTATATAATGTATTATTGCTGGGATTTGTAGTCCTCTAGCTGGTGGTATTCTGCAGTGCGCTGTATAATGATTATACGGCGCAATGCAGAATACCAGCAGCTATAGAGGAATACAGCAAATCGCAGCAATAGTACATTATACTATAATGTACTATTGCTGGGATTTGTAGTCTTCTAGAGCTGGTGCCATTCTGCATTGCACTGTATAATGATTATACGGCGCAATGCAGAATACCACTGACCAGTTATAGAGGAATACAACAAATGCCAGCAATAATACATTAAACACCCTGTATAATGTATTATTGCTGGCATTTGTTGTTCCTCTATAGCTGGTGGTATTCTGCAGTGTGCTGCTGTATAATACATTGGTATTCTGCATGGTACTCTGCATTGTATAATACAGCGGCACAATGCAGCATACCAGACAGAATACCAGCAGCTATAGAGGAACAACAAATGCCAGCAATAATACATTATACAGGGTGTACACATGTTTCATCTGGAGTCATCACCAAAAAAACGTTTGCGAGTTAATACGACTTTGATTACCTTGGCAAGTAGCAGTAAAGTATAGTGAACAAATGTCAAACCTATATAATGTCCTAGAATCGGTGAATTGTAATACTGTTCACTTCCTCCTGTTTTAGTTTTGCCATAATTCAGATGCTTTAGTGAACACAACACATGCTGCAGATCACTTAGTGGTCAGTATTGTATTCTGAGAATCACAGCTCATGACTATGGTCTTATTAATACTCATGACTTTATATCTGTAAAGCTGGCAGACCAATGAAAAAGCAGGCGCTGAGATAAAATATATTGGTATAACCTGAACTACACAGACCAGACGGTTATTTGCAGTTAAAATACCTGTGTGTGTGTGAGCTATTTTACTTGAAGAAATTCAGATTCTGTTCAGCCATTATTATGATTTGCACCCCTTGCAACATGGCACAGCCAGGTGGGTCACTTATCTTTTCGCTGTTGTAGTTTAATACAACTATGTCACCTCCCTGCCACCAGCCTGCTGTTTAGGTAGTAAAATAGGCAAAGACATGCACCTGAGGCTATAACTGCATCCAGAGCCACTAGTCAATAGAACAAATGTAGCATACATTTATAATCCTTTATTCTAATTTTCATACCCCGAGAGACACCCATACCCAGAAAAGGGTCACTTCCTGCTTCAGCTGAAAAAGTTAATTTGGGAACAATATGGCTGTGGGGCATAAGGAATCAATCTGAGGTGGGTATATTTTGGATAACTGGGGCTGCCTCAACAAGACGGGGTCAATAACAGTGGTATGAAAGGAAAAAAACACCATCTATGACCTAAAATAAACTCTGATCAGACCAGAAGCTTCATTGCACTCATGAGAATCCGAATTTGATTGTGCTGTCAATACACCAAAATGGCTTTCCTGATGCAACCCAAAACAGCATCCTGTAGCTTGTTACCATGCAGTTTGGAGCGCTGCAAAGCAGGTGTTAAGTATTGCAATGTTTTCAGAACCACTGGGGTGTCAAAAAATGATGGCACAACTGCATACTATCGGGGCTCTCACAAAAGTGTTTCTGGAATTCTATGTATTCAGAACCTAAAAGGTTGTCTTTGGGCCATGAGGTCTGCCAGTGGCACTCTCTAGACCTTGCATCTCTGTTAGTTGTGGTCCTAGCCTTAACAAGTAAGTGATACCCTGCCGCCCCCCCCCCCAATGGCCTGGGGTGTGCCTTGGCCTTCCCGGGCCAGTATGCC